TGAGGGGATGGACGTACCCGGTACACGGCCATTGGGATTAATGCTAATGAATGGGGGTTTCTTGACGTCTTCGAATCCGAAGGATTTGATTTTGTAGGGGATGTTGAGTTCTTCGAGGATGACGATGACCTGATTTGTTGTTTAGTGAAGGATACGTGTGGTGGGTGAGTGGGTGGGGACTAACCTTCCATGGGTTGGGACCGGAAGCTATACAGTATAAGAAAACAATTGTTAGTAAAGAAGGGTAGTGTAGTGGAGTAGTGTAAAGTATAGGTTGGTGAACTAGAACATACGGGTGAGCCAGACGGTAATGGGCTTCAGGTTTGTCATGGTGAGATTTGGTGTCGTGTGAGTGTCAGTGTCAGATTCAGTTGGGATGTGTAGAAGGAGGAATTAATAGCACGAGACAGAGCAGCTTTATACATGAGCTGAAGCTGACATGAGGCTGTAGCCTGATTGTCGAAGGATGGTTAGCGTGTGTTTAAGTGGATTAGAGCGAGGGTGAGCTGACTGCATTTGGGGGCCGTTCCTTGCTTGTCGGGAGACTATCAGATGATTATCTTGTCTAGTAGATAGATATTGTCGATCACAAGGATAAACAATAAACAGAGTGGAATGGTTGATTAAATACTAACTATTAATTATCATCAACTGGAATGGCAACATGATTACTCCAAAATCAACTACACCCAACTACTGCAAGCAGCTAATCCTCCCGTAAGCCCATCATCTCCAACGAATCTCTCCACAACCGCTCCTCTCCCTCCGGCCAATATGTATAACTCACGATCGTCCTGCCAACATGCCCATCATACTCTTTATCCTCTGCAAGGGCACAATCAGCCAGATACTTCCCTCCCTTACCCTCCCATTCTCTTCCCACAGCAGCCCACAATGTAGTGGCCGCACCCTGCTCCGTACTCTTCGCAACCCTACCCACCGTCTCATCACTCAACAGCGCCTGAATCTGTTCCTCGGACAGATACCTCCCCAACCCGGTGGCAATAATCCCAGGATGCAAGCTCAGCCCATGCAGCCCCTGTCCTCCATACCGCCGCTCAATCTCACTTGCCATATAGATATTCGCCGTCTTGGACTGCCCATACGCAACCAAGGGATGATACCCACCCTTCTGGAATTGATAATTATCCGGCTCATTAATCCCATGCACGCGATGTCCTGAGCTCGACACCAGAACCACCCTTGAATGAAACTCAGGACTACTTCCCGCTAACAGGGCCGGCTTGAGCAAATTAAACAGAAGGAAGTGGGCGAGGTGGTTCGTCGCGAACTGCACTTCGTACCCGTCCTCTGTGAGCTGGAGGTCCGGCACGGCCATGATCCCCGCGTTGCCGATGAGGATGTTCACTTTGGTTGTCTTGGACAAAATGAACTCTGCAGCTTGTCGCACGCTGGAAAGAGAGGCTTGATCCATTGGTACCAGCTCCATGGTTTCTGGCTGGAAGATGTCGCCTAGGGCTGTGCGCGCTTTGCTCAGGTCGCGGGCTGTTAGGTACAGCGTTGCGCCGGTGGCGGCGAGGGCGCGGACAGTCTCGACCCCCAGGCCGGAGGAGACGCCCGTCACGACGGCGACTTTGCCTTTGAGTTGGTTTTGCATGTTGCTGTCTTGGACGATTTGGAGGGCTGTGGGTCGGGCATCACCCGGGCCCCGGGGGTTGGCGTGAACGGCAGTGTAAGACATGTTTGATGAGAATATAAGATGAGAGTGTAATTGATGCTTGATGATGATGCTTCATTTTGAGCGAAAACAACATCATATTTATACCTTTTCCTGCACATTGACAACGATATAGAAAGAGAAACTTGCAATTATCAGGCAGACGTAATGGCTGACATTATTGCCTATTCGGGTTAGTCCGACGGGGTCATCACCTGGCTTCATCTTCCTGCGACTTCATGGCTGACCATTTTCGCCGTTTTAGATCTAGTCTGTTCGTGATATAATCGAAGATAGGAAATACGGAACTATCTACAGGCTTCTTGGATACTAATTATCCCTCACCAGCTGACAAATCTCTCCACTATCTCACTCAACGATGCCGTCATCTACTCCCGCAGACGAGAAACGGCAGCGCAAGAAGCTCCAAAACCGAGTAAATCAGAGAGCACGTCGTGAGTCATTTAGAAGCCAAACACCGACTACCAAGCTAATATTATCATCTAGGTCTCCGGCTCAAGAATGAGCAGGGCAAAGGCCAAACCACCCGTCCATACAGCGTCCACCGCTGGCGAGTCTCAGAATACGAGACACCATCATCATCAACCTCACCAACCAATAACCACTCACACACCCTTTCTCAAGCACAGAACCTCTCTCAAACACAAACACAAACAGACCCTGAACCCTCCCTGACTTCATCATCATCATCATCATCATCATCCTCATCACCCTCACCCCCCTCCCTACCCACCTCCTCCACCCCAAATATATCCTCAGACCACCTCCTCCACCTAATAACCCACAACGTCTTCCGCGCCCTATACACCAACAAAC